AACCCCAAATCTGGGTTTTTCCATGGTTAAAATGAAATGCTAATATATACACATACACACACATACACACACACCCTCTAAAATAGTAATAAACAAAGGTTGAACATGTATTCATCAATCAGTGTGGTGGAAGCCTGCAGTCAGCTGCTTTGTGTGGTGCATTGTGGGAGTGATGCACACCAAAATATAGTTTCCTGTGTGGATCTGTCTCTTTGCTTGTTGTCTGCGACATGTGTTTCTGTAGTTGCCATCCCTGTTATTCTTGCACCTTGTGCTTGTGTATACTGTCTGCTGTTGGTAAGTACCAAAATTCTCTTGTAGAAGTGGTAGAAATGGGTCTGGTGGTCAGTACAGTAGAAGTCTTGGAACTTGTCCCTATTTGCTACATTGTAAAGTGGGTTCCCTTTCAAGTTATGTGCCATTTTCCAGGAATGCATGTACAGCATAATGTGAGGGAAACCTGTACACACACACACACACACACACAAAGATATGCATATATACATATCACTTGGTGGTCCCAAAACACTAGCCTAAAATGATACAGGTATATGTTCTAAAAATGCATTAGATTTTTCCTTCTTTCAAGGATTGTACAGCTGTACTCCTAGTTTAGAAATCCTGGCCTCACTGAAGTCAATGGCAATTATAATAGTGACTTCAGTGGATGCATGGTTTCACCAATTGTGATTTTGGTGCTTGACTTAGGAACAACAACAACAAAACAAAAACCCACAAAGGCATATGAAACACCATGCAATCTAAAACATTCCTAAAATATTGCCAACCTTTTTAACTGTTTTGGGCAGAACTTTTCCACTCTCATTGTCTTCCTGACATTGATGCTTTCAGAAAACTCTAACCAAAACAGTTCAGCAGTTTCTGAGTAGGTGGCTAGACAATAAAGACCACAAAGGATGAAACAGGGTAGATGAGGAAGCCACTTGATTCAAATGCAGAAGGAACTGAGAGCTGGATCAACAATGCTGTAGTAGGGGATGAGAAGGGAGGAGCAGATTAGGAAAAAGATCCTTTGGGTAGGAGAGACTAGGAGTGGAAGATGGGCTGAAGGAAAGACAGAAACTGAGATGGGAGTTGGAGTGGGAGATGCAACCAGAAGCAGGGATTGTGACTGGCTGGGTAGCAACTGGACCAGGAGCCAGGGAGTGAAGTGAGAAAGAGAAAGAAAGCGATGAGGTGGGGAAAGTGGGAGCGAGATAAGGACTGATAGAGTGGGGAGAATCAGAAACGAATGAAAGAGACAAAAAAATGGTCAAGCCTGAGGGAAACAAAGCAAACTCCCCTCTAGAGCCCAGAATGAAACCTAAGATTCTCAAGTCTCTGCTAGCCTCTGCTGTTAGCAAATATCTTTGAAGCTCAAAGGGTCAGATATTTTTCTTAGCGCCATTATAGAAAGGATGACAATTTACTACCACTTTCAGTTATTCAAACTGCACAGGAGACAGAGACCTTTCCAGTAGATCTAAAGTTTCAAACTCTGCTAATGATTATATGAGTCAATCTGATGTCACATCATGGGATTTCTATTTTTTAGTCTGCTTTTTTAAAAACAGGTAAATATACATACAAAACTACAGTAAAAGAACACAACTGTACTAATGTTCTTTGCAGGGTATTTTAAGAAATATGCAATTCATATAATATATGTTAATATGATATAGTCTATGGAAGAATGACTAGAAAACTTCACTTAAAATGTTTTTCCTTTACCTCGTATGTATGACTTGGGTGGGGTAGCACTGCTGTAAGTAAAGTGCTCCAGTACTGATGTATCGCGGGAAAAGCAGAGTAATACCTGAAGAAAACAAGACAAACCATCAGGGAACTGTTACATCAACACAGCAATGTCATATGCAGAAGTATGCAATTGGCAACTGATTCATTTTAAAATTTTCTGCACCTGTACAACATAACTACCATATTTACTTGAGATGACTTGAATATTTATCTATGTATGGGGCTGAGCTGGGACCATACTCATTGCCCAGGCTGCAGTAGAACATGGAGCAAGGCAAAGTGTGGGGAGAAGCAGGAGAGAGGCAGGTGAGGAAGTAGAGCCTGTGGGTGAAGGGGGGAGACAGGAAGAAGAGGCTGCAGTAGGAAGATGGTGGAGTGCAGAGGCAAAAGGGTAGGACAGGCAGTGGCTGTGGCTATGGCTGGATCCCAGGTAGGAACTGGAGCCCAAGCCACAGCAGCCACCTGCCCTCATACTCAATTCTAAGATATGTTAAGCAGGGGACCTCATCTTAGAATTAAATAAACATGGTAGGGTTGAAAAAATTATCAAGGGCCACATTTGTGAGAGCCCTGCAGGGGAAGTGGTGTTGAGGGGTAACCAACACAGGTTTGTCCCAGGCCGATCCTGCCTGACCAACCTGGTCTCTTTCTATGACCAGGTAACAAAAAGCTTAGATGTGAAAGAGGAAGTCAATGTCATCTTCTTGGACTTCCAGAAGGCCTTCGACACAGTGTCCCACCCAATTCTGGTGGGCAAGCTGAGGGACTGCGGCATTGATGAATGCACGGTCACATGGGTGGCAAACTGGCTCCAGGGGCGCACCCCGAGGGTGGTGGTGGACGGGTCAATGTCGACCTGGAAGGGTGTGGGCAGTGGAGTCCCCCAGGGCTCGGTCCTTGGGCTGGTGCTGTTCAACATCTTCATTAGCGACTTGGACAAGGGTGTGGAGAGCACCCTGTTCAAATTCGCTGATGACACCAAGCTGTGGGGTAAAGTGAATACACCGGCAGGCAGGGACCGCATCCAGGAAGACCTGGATAGGTTAGAGAAATGGGCGGATCTGAACAGGATGTGGTTCAACAAGGACAA